TATCTGCAGTTGTTTGAGGAACCTCCATACCATTTTCCATAGAGGCTGCACCATTTTGCAGTCCCACCAACAATGTATGAGAGTTCCATTTTCTCCGCAACCTCGCCAGCACTTATCATTCACAGTCTGTTGGTTATTAGCCATCCTCACTGGGGTGAGATGGTATTTCAGTGTGGTTTTGATTTGCATTTGCCGAATGCTGAGTGATGTTGAGCATTTTTCCATGAGTCCGTTGGCCATTCATATATCTTCCTTTGAGAAATGCCTGTTTACCTCCTTTGCCCATTTTTTAATTGGGTTACTTGTTTTTTTGTTGTAAAGTTGTTTCACTTCCTTGTATATTCTGGATATTAATCCTTTGTCAGATGTATGTTTTGCAAATATTTTCTCCCACGCTATTGGTTGTCTTTTAACTCTGTTAATTGCTTCTTTTGCTGTGCAGCAGCTTTTTAGTTTGATACAATCCCAATTATTTATTTTTCCTTTCTTTGCCAATGCTTTTGGGGTCGTATTCATGAAGTCTGTGCCCAGTCCTACTTCCTGAAGCATTTCTTCTATGTTTTCTTTAAGAAGTTTTATTGTTTCAGGGTGTATATTTAATTCTTTAATCCATTTTGAGTTGATTTTAGTATATGGTGAGAGGTATGGGTCTAGTTTTATTCTCCTGTGTATGGATATCCAGTTATCCCAGAACCATTTGCTGAAGAGGCAGTCTCTTCCCCAGTGTATAGGATTGGTGCCTTTGTCAAAGATCAGATGGCTGTAGGTGTGTGGGTTGATTTCTGGGTGCTCTATTCTATTCCATTGATCAGTGTCTCTGTTTTTATACCAGTACCATGCTGTTTTGGTTATTATAGCTTTGTAGTATAGTTTAAAGTCAGGTAGTGTTATGCCTCCAGCTTTATTTCTTTGCTCAGAATTGCTTTGGCTGTGTGTGGTCTTTTGTTATTCCATATGAATGTCTGGATAGTTTTTTCCATTTCTGAGAAAAATGTCATTGGAATTCTGATGGGGATTGCATTGAGTTTGTATATCACTTTGGGTTGTATGGATATTTTCACAATGTTGATTCTTCCAATCCAAGAGCATGGGATATCTTTCCATCTTCTTGTGTTCTCTTTAATTTCTCTCAGCAGTGGTTTGTAGTTATCGTTATAGAGATTTTTCACCTCCTTGGTTAACTCAATTCCCAAGTATTTCATTTTTTTGGTGGCTATTGTAAATGGGCTAGCTTTCTTGGTTTCTCTTTCTGCATGTTCACTATTGGAGAATAGAAATGCTACTGATTTTTGTGTGTTGATTTTGTATCCTGCAACTTTGCTGAAATCATTTATCAATTCCAAGAGTTTTTTTTTTGTAGAAACTTTAGGCTGTTTGATATATAGGATCATGTCATCTGCAAACAGGGACAGTTTGACTTCATCTTTTCCAATCTGGATGCCCTTTATTTCCTTCTCTTCTCTGATTACTCTGGCTAGTACTTCCAACACTATGTTGAACAGGAGTGGTGAGAGTGGGCATCCTTGTCTAGTTCCTGTTCTTAAAGTAAAAGCTTTCAGCTTTTTCCCATTCAGGATGATATTGGCAGTGGGTTTATCGTATATGGCTTTAATTATGTTGAGATACTTTCCATCTATACCTAACTTGTAGAGAGTCTTTATCATGAATGAGTGTTGAATTTTATCAAATGCTTTTCAACATCTATAGAGATGATCATATGTTCCTTGTATTTGATTTTATTGATATGGTGTATCACATTTTTTTGATTTGCATATGTTGAACCAACTTTGCATCCCTGGGATGAATCCCACTTGATCATGGTGTATAATTTTGCATATGTGTTGCTGTATTCTGTTAGCTAGTATTTTGTTGAGGATTTTTGCATCTATATTCATCAAGGATATTGGCCTGTAGTTTTCTTTTTTAGTTGTATCTTTACCTGGTTTTGACAACAGGGTGATGTTTGCTTCATCGAATGAATTTGGAAGAATTGCCTCTGTTTCAATCTTTTGGAATAGTTTGTAGAGAATTGGTGTCAATTCCTCTTTGAATGTTTGGTAGAATTCTGCTGTGAATCCATCTGGTCCTGGGCTTTTCTTTGTTGGGAGCCTTCCGATAACAGCGTCAATCTCTTTTACTGTTATTGGTCTGTTCAGATTTTCTGCATCTTCTTGGCTCAGTTTTGGTATTTTGTGAGTGTCCAAAAATTTATCCATTTCCTCCAGATTTTCAAATTTGTTGGCATATAGTTGTGTATAGTAGTCTCTAATGATTCCTTGTATTTCAGAGGTATTGGTTGTAATGTCACCTTTTTCATTTCTAATTTTTGTTATTTGGGTCTTCTCTCTTCTTTTTTTTAGCTAGCCATGCTAATGGTTTGTCAATTTTATTTATCTTTTCAATAAACCAATTTTTTAATTCATTGATCTTTTGTATCATTTTTGGGGTTTCAATTTCATTAAGTTCTGCTCTGATCTTAATGATTTCTTTCCATCTGCTAACTTTGGGTTTGGATTGTTCTTGTTTTTCTAGTTCTTTAAGGTGAAGTATTAGGTTGTTCACTTGCCATCTTTCCATTCTTCTGAAGTAAGCATATAATGTGATAAATTTCCCTCTTAGTAGTGCTTTTACAGTATCCCACGGGTTTTGGTATGATATATCATTGTTTTCATTAGTTTCAAGAAATTTTTTGATTTCCTGTTTGATTTCTTCTTGGACCCATATGTCGTTAAGTAGAATGCTGTTTGATTTCCATGTGTTTGTATAGTTTCCAGAATTTCGTTTGTTATTGATTTCTAATTTTAATCCATTGTGGTCTGAATAAATACATGGGATAATTCCAATTTTTTAGAGTTTGTTGAGACTTGATTTGTGACCTAACATTTGATCTATCGTGGAGAATGATCCATGTGCTGATGAGAAGAATGAATATTCTGAGGTTGTTCGATGGAATGTTCTGTAGATACCTGCCAAGTCCAATTTGTCTAGAGTGTTGTTTAGATATTGTGTTTCTGTGCTGATTGTTTGCCTAGATGATCTGTCCAATATTGATAGTGGGGTGTTCAGGTCCCTTGCTATTATGGTATTAGTGTCTCTTTCATTCTTTAGGTCTAGTAGAGTTTGCTTTATAAATCTGGCTGCTCCGACATTAGGTGTGTATGTATTTATGATTGTTATGTCTTCTTGATGGGTCAATCCTTTTATCATTATGTAGTGGCCATCATTATCTCTTTTTATGGTTTTTAGTTTAAAGTCTGTTTTATCAGATATAAGAATAGCTACTCCAGTTCGTTTTTCATTTCTGTTTACATGGTAAATCTTTTTCCATCCTTTCACTCTTAGTGTACGTGAGTCTTTATAGGTGAGGTGGGTCTCTTGAAGGCAGCATATAGTTGGGTCCTCCTTTTTAATCCAGCCAGCTAGTCTGTGTCTTTTGATTGGGGAATTTAATCCTTTTACATTAAGAATTGTTATTGAGAAGTGTTGATTTACTCCTAGCATTTTATTGATTTTTGTTTGGATGTCTTAAGTGTCTTTTGTTCCTTTCATTCTGATTTACTGTTTTTTTTCTATATTTGTTGATACCTTGGGTTGTAGATAAACTTTTTTTTTTCTCTTCATTGTTGGCATTTTTTTTTTACTAGTGAGTTTTGATTTTTCTTGAATTTTTATGGCAGTGGTAGTTATTTTTCAGGTACCAAACCCAGTACTCCCTTGAGAATTTCTTGTAAGGGTGGTTGTGAGGTAGTGAACTTCTGCAGTTTTTGTTTGTCTGAGAAATATAATATTTGCCTGTCATTTCGGAAGGATAGCCTTGCGGGGTAGAGTATTCTTGGCTGGCAATCTCTGTCTTTTAGTATTTTGCTTATACCACCCCATTCATTTCTGGCTTTTAGGGTTTGTGATGAAAAGTCTGATGTTAGTCTGCTTGGGGCTCCCTTATACGTGATTTGATGCTTCTCTCTTGTAGCTTTTAAGATTCTCTCTTTGTCTTTGAGTCTTGCCAATTTGACTATAACCTGTCTTAGAGAAGACCTTTTTGGGTTGAATACGTTTGGGGATCTTTGAGCTTCCTGAATCTGAAGATCTGTGTTTTTTCCTATACCTGGGAAGTTTTCTGCCACTATTTTGTTACATGTGTTTTCAATGCAATCTCCTTTTTTATCCTCTTCTGGAATAGCCATGACTCGGATATTTGAGTGCCTAAGGTTGTCTGATAACTCTCTTAGATTTTCTTCAGTGTTTTTAATTCTTTTTTCTTTTTTTTTGTCTGCCTGTGTTATTTCACACAGCCCATCTTCAAAGTCCGAAGTTGTCTCTTCTGCTTCTGCAAGCCTGCTGCTTAAACTCTCTGTTGTGTTTTTTATTTCATTGAATGAATTCTTCAGCTTGGCAAGCTCTGCAACATTCTTTTTCAGGGCATTGATTTGCTTGTACATTTCTTCTTTCAGGTCCTGTATACTTTTCCTCATTTCATCGTGTTGTCTAGCTGAGTTTTCTTGTATCTCATTTAGTTTCCTTAGAATTATCACTCCAAATTCCTTGTCAGATATTTCAAGGGCTTCTTGTCCTATAGGATCTAGGACTTGAGAGCTATTATCCTTTGGTGGTGTACTTTCTTGATTTTTCATATTTCTGGTGTCTTTCCTTTGATGTTTAGTCATTGTGGGAAGGAATTTCACAGTCTACTGGTTTGACACTGTTGTCTGATTAGGATGCTGATGGGGCTGCCAATTTGGCATGGCTGCCTCAGTGTCTGCTCTGTTGCCCACTGGCACCTCAGGTCTTAAGCCTCTCCAGGGAGGCGCCTCTCTGGTCATCACACACTCGGCTGGGCTGGGGATGGAGTCTGGCAGCGGCAAAGCCTATGTGCTCCATTGTGTGCTGGCACCATGGGGCATGTGGTCTCTGCAGATCTCAGTCCTCTCCAGTGGGGCGTGGATGGAGTCTGGCTGCTGTGAGGCCTGCCTGCTCGGTTGTGTCCTGGCACCGCAGGGTGCATGGTCTCTGCGGATCTTGGGCTTCTCCAGCGGGGTGCCTCTCTGGTCGGCGTGCATTCGGTTGGGCTGGGAATGGAGTCCAGTGGCCATCAGGCCTACCTGCTCGGTCGCCCGCTGGCACTGCAGGGCACGTGGTCTCTGCAGATCTTGGGCCTCTCCAGAGGGGCCCCTTTCTGGTCGGTGCGCACTTGGCTGGGCTGGGTATGTAGTCTGGCATCGGTGAGGACTACGTGCTTGGTTGTGCGCTGGCACCATGGGGTGCGTTGTCTCTGTGGATCAAGATTTGATTTTTATCTCAAGTTTTCTTGCCCTCTCTTTTCCTTTTTGAAATGACTTTTTAAACAAAAAACATATTCTTGTCTCTTCTAGAATATTATTTTTATTATGTTTGGGCTTAATGTTTCTGTAGCAATACTGTCACACTAATACACACCTATCTTTTCATTCTAGGCCCTGGAGGAGCAGCTAAAGATGTGTAAGTACTTAATATTATCATTTTATAGGCTTTCTGAGGAAGATGCTGTTTTTCATGATGATGACCTTTAGATATCTGTGGATATGGCTGAAAAGACATGAAAATACTTTCTGTACTATGTGCATATCATGATTATCATTTGGTTTATCACCAAAGTGCTATTTGAAGAATGCTGTTTGTGATATTTTATTTTTTCTTTTCAGTTCCCCTGACATTTTAACTCAGAATCTTAAGAAAGAGAAATGTTTGTGTTTTCATCCCAACTTGTGTAGAGATTTCCTCTAGTAAAAAGCAAGTGATTATGGAAGAATTAAGCACATAGCTCCTATGACTATGGGATGTCTTAGAGTTAGCTGGAGAGGAAAGGCTTGAGCCAAACATTTACCAAATGCACATTGAACTGTTTTAAAGTTGATAACTAGATATTCAAGTTAATGTATATGACCATTGAATGTAGTCGACATTGACCTGATCTTCGGAGCATAGGACATTTAATACAGAAGCAGCTTCTCCCTATGCGAGGTTTCTGGAGCTCAGGAACTCTCTTGGTGATTCTGTCATATCCCTTCTCTGCATCCTCCTACCTCTAACATAGATATAGTAAGGACAAGAGCATAGGACATTTAATACAGAAGCAGCTTCTCCCTATGCGAGGTTTCTGGAGCTCAGGAACTCTCTCGGTGATTCTGTCATATCCCTTCTCTGCATCCTCCTACCTCTAACATAGATATAGTAAGGACATTACAGTAGTTCACTGTTTAAGAGTGTTTGAGGTTACCCCATGGAGGGTGGGATCAACGCTTCTACCCAAAACTGAATTGGATGTTAAGACTGATGGCACCACACAACATCAAGAGAATATGAAAAGATTTATTACTCACATACTGAGGCTCTCTGGGGAGAGCAAGGCAGGCTTCCAAACTGGTTCATTCAGCTGGAGTGAAAAAAGAGTTGAGCGACTTTGGTTTTTATTGTGGTTGGAGAGTGGGCCGGGGTGAGGGCCTTTAAGTGTAGGCAGAGGTTTGGTCTTCCTGCTGGCATAGGGAAGAAGTGCTCAGGCTTTTTGGCTTGCACAGGTGTGAGGTGCAACAGGGAGGGATGGAACTTGAAAGGTGTGAGTGGTCAAACATCAAAAATAGAGTCATACTTTTTTATTGCAAAGAAGAATTCAGAAAAAGGTAGAATGGGGTTGTAAAGTTTGCTGGGAACTAGACGTGCATTTTGTATGGGACATTGGGTAAAAAGGAAGCAGTAATAGATTGCTGCAAACTGCTGGTTATAATGTTTTGAGTTTGTTACCAGAATATTTAGCGACAGTGAATTCTGCATCTTTACCTTATTCCTGATATTGCGGTATTTTGGTCTTTCCTTTCGTCTTTCTCTTCCATTTCTATATATTGCCAGATTAATGTCCTTCAAGCACTGTCTTGCACTGGTAGGGCATCTGCTCAAAACTTTTCATTTATTCTCCACTGCCCACTGGATTAAGCCCAGAATCCCTTGGGAATAGGAAGGCTGTTTGTGCTTTACCTTTAGCTGACTGGCACTGCCTGATGTGGGGGGAGATGCTGCAGTCAGGAGTAGCAAAGCCAAGGACTGAGAGGGAGCTGGAGACCTGCCCAGCCAGTGTCAGGGGCCCACGCTGACTCCTTGTTTTCTGTTTCTTTTCCTTGCTTTTGCTGTTCTCTGTGCCTGAAATGGCCTTTTCCCCAATTCTACTTGTAGAATTCGTTCCCCAATTCTCTTCAGAGCTTATGTCTTACTCTTTGCAAGAAGTATTTCCTGGATCTCCCAACTGGATACAGTGTCTTTCCCTTCTGAACTTTTACAGCATTTTGGACTTCTCTTATGATACACCATATTGGATTGATGTTATAGTTATTCATGTTCTTGTCTTTTATCCCTTGGAAATTGAAGGAGGTGAAATGTCTTACTCATTTTAATGCGCTCTACAGTTATTAGTATCATGATTTCAACGTAGTGTTTAATAGTCTTTGAATGAATTCCATCATTTGTCTTCAAGGAGAGAGTGATTTCATGACTTCCTCTTTCTTCTAGAGGCATGGAAATTTCTAATGAAATTTAGTAACGAATTTGTCAACAGAATTAACTGTTCCAGGATGTGAGATGCCATTTAACTACTTTTTAAAGTCCTGAATTGTTCAGATTTACGTTTTCTTAGACTAAACCTCATTATATGTCCTATAACTAAAAAAACAAACAAACAAACAAAAAAAAAACCAAAAGTAATGGCATTAAAAAATGGCCCTCTAAGAAGTAAATGAAATAAATTTAATTAGAAAAGGTTAAAGAATATTATAGTGTTACTTTTTCTTGCACAAAAGATTTATTCAAACATTTTATGTTTTAAAATGGAAGCTATAGATTTAGAAATCTTGACTATGACCTTAGGTGATGCCATGAATGAATGAGAAACTAAGAAATTAAGATGATTTACATTTTTTTAATCATGTAGATTCAAAAATTTAAAAAAATCTGAACAGATTAATCCCAAACCAAAAGAAATGGCCAAAATAACATGAGTACTGAGAGTAGAAAACTTCAAATAAGGCAACCATCATATTACACAAACCACATAAAAGTCTTTTGGGAGAATTAGAGTTATATTTGGAAGCCAGAAATATGAGAACACTTCAAAAATTCCGTGGAAAGATTTGTATTGTCTTTTCATTCCACTTTTCCATGAACTTTTTGAAGTATCCTTGTATATTAAAAAATCAGTTCCCTAGGGAAGGTTTGCAAATTTTACTATCTCTCCCTTTTCCTATTTATTTGATGTTTTCTGTAGGCAAGAAGTTGGTATATAATAGCAAAAAAAAAAAAAGGTATTTTTGCCCTTATATAGATCACTGTCTACTGGGATCAAACTACAGTGTGATAAATGTAAATTATTAAAATAGTCACAACTTAATGCTGGTCCGGGTCTTGATGGACTAGCACGAGTTCATGCAGAGCAGGAGAAGCATGGTGGCCCCTGGCAGAGGGAAGAGAGTGCAAAAGGCAGGTCGGCGCGGGCGAGTGGCAGGTCTTCTGGGATCAGCCAGCAGGTTTTCCTGAGCCTGTGGTGCAGCTGGGCAGAAGTGACAGAGGATGGGCTGCGGCTGTGCGTGAAGGGCCTTTGGAGCTGGGCAGGCAGTTGTACTTGATTTTGTATGCAGCCGAGAGCCATTCGAGATTTTTGAGGTGGAGGAATTAAATGATTACGTTTGCCTTTTAGGGCAATAACTCCCAAAGCAGTGTGCTAGATGAGATGGGCCATGGGAGCATCAGAGAGCAGACAGCTGCCACGGGAAAGGAGAAGAGGTCCTGCCTTCAAGTATGTTTGGAAATATAATTGATAACATCTGTCCAATGACTGAACGGGGAAGGAAAGGACAGGAAAAGCTGAGGATAACACTACTGTTTCAAACTTGAGCCAAGGGAAGGGATGGCTAATAATCCAGAGAGGTCAGTGGACTGAAGGAGGCAGAGGAGCCATTGTGTCGGCCACATTGGTCACCTTGGCGACTGTAGTTTCAGATGAGCAGTGTGAGAAAGCACTGGGTCAGAGTGGAAGTGAGTGGGAAGCAAGGAGGCGGAGAGAGCCATGTGTGCTCCTTCATTTTGCCATGTTTAACCAGACGATGGAATGATGTTGGTAACTTTTAAAGGGAGCATATTTTAAAAATGTGTATTTCTATTGTAAAAGGAATACCAAGAGGGAAAGTACAGAAAAGTATTTTTTTAGAAAAAAGGAAAAGCTGGGGCCGGCCCGGTGGCGCACTGCTACAGTGCGCCGCTTGGGAGCAAGGTGGTGCTCCCGCCGAGGGTTCGGATCCCACATACAGACCGGTTCCCGCTCACTGGCTGAGCGAGATGCGGGTGCGACAC